TGCTCCGATTGGGAGCTCACCCAGCCGCAGATGCGGATGGTGAGCGTGCCCGTGCTGCTCAGTGTGGGCGGCCCGCTGTCCACCACCAGGATGGGCAGGAAGAACACGTCCTGCTCCTGCCGGTTGAAGCCCACGTGCTGCGTGTGCACTGCGGCCGTGTTGTCTGCTCCGGAAGAAGGGGTGGCCAGTGACTCAGGCCTGGGGTCGGCACCCCTCCCTCATCTCAGCGGCTTCCTGGTTTCACCTCTAGATTTACTCCCCTATGCCCCCAACTGCTGCCTCCCAAATGACTCTCAGGTCTCCCCAGTTCTGTTACCAGCTGTCCCCAAATTCTGTCCCCAGCTGCCAGGAGTCCCTGTGCCCATCCACATAGCCCATAGCTGTCCTCAGTTGTCCTGGGATTCTATTCCCAGCTGTCTCAAGATTCTGTTTTCAGCTATTCTAAGATTTTTGTCCCCAGCTGTGCCAAGGTCCTGTCCCCAGTTATTCCAAGATTCTGTCCCCAGCTGGGCCAAGGTTCTGTCCCAGCTATGTCAATTTGCTTTTTTCTTCCTTCCTTCCTTCCTTCCTTTCTTTTTCTTTTTCTTTTTCTTTTCCTTTTTTTTTTTTTGCTATTGTTTCGACAGCCTGCTTTTGTTCCACATTCCACTCTAGCAACCCGATGTATTCTGACCCTTGGGGTCCTGTGGTCCTTGGGTTGTGGTTTGCGGGCTGACAAGCCCTGGGTCATCAGAGAGAACAGGAAAGCCAGGCTGACATCTGCCTTTGGCTGAGGGATCGTTCTGTCCTTCATCGTCTGAGGCCATTCGAGAGTCCTAGGGCCGATCTGGAGCCTGTCCTTAGGAGGATGAGCCTAGAGCACTGGAGGCCTCTGGGCCCTGAAGGGGCGGCCCTGGAGACTAAGGTCTCCCTACCCATGCCTTTCCTTTCCACACAGGCAGCCAGAGAGGCCAGTGAAGGAACACAAAGAGCACTGGCTGCCCTGCTTCAGGGCAGCCAGGCAGGACCCTGGACTGGTGGCTGGCCTGGGAGCACAGGCTTAGGTGATGGGTACGCCCACATCCTCCACCCTTCCTGCTGCCTCCACAGCTTCCTATTGAGGGGGGCGGCCCCAGACCCTCACCCACTTGGATAGCGCCTCTCAATTCTGCATAATGTGGTAGTGAAGAGCTCAGAGCCCAGCTGGTTGCTACCCCTGCCCTGTGAGACCAACTCTGCCCAACGGAGCTCTGTCTTCCTCCCTGCCCTCGCTGTCTCCCGGTTAGTCTCTCTACTCTGAGACCTGGGCAGCTTGAGTCCCTTCCCCAGCTCTGTGGCACCAGCTCACCCAGCCCATTCCCCAGGAACCCCCGATTCAGCACCCTGGATCTGGCCTTCCTCGTCATGAACAGAAAGGAGGAAGAAGAGCCCTTGAGTCACTGACTCAGGACCTTGGGCACGTCTAGGGTACAGGCTGGAGTCCAGATGGAGCAAGAGTGGTCATGGGTGGAAGACTACCCAGGATGGGGATGCAAGGCTCCTTCTGTTACTTTATCTACCCTCTTTTTAGATTTTGCCATAGGACATGTGTGCTTGCCAGGAAGAGAGACAGTGAGAGGAAAAGAGACATCACCCCTCTTCCCCCCCAGGAGGGACAGCCATGCTGCAATCTGTTCTCCTCCATTCTCCTCCTGGGATTTTGGGCACGTGTGTGCACACACACACACACACACACACACACACACCAGCTGTGTTTTACAAGCCACCAGGTCCTGGACTCGAACCTCAAGGTTGGCCATGTGGGATCCAGCCCCTTAACCACCATGCCATCTGCTGTCCCTACTCCATCTAGTTCACACATTCAAAAATGTCCATAAACATTCTGTTGGAGCATAATGCCAAGCTCATTATCTTCTTTGACTCTCAGTTTCCTCAACTGTAAACTGAGAAAAGGAGTCTCATGCAGGTGGGAGAATTAAATGGTATAAAAATGGTATAATTCCCAACTCTTGGAGTAATTCCAGCACATAGAAATTCTCAATAAATGCTGGTTGGGACCAGTGGATGGTGTAATGGTTCTATCTCTGGACTCTAACATGATTGACCATGGATCGAGTTTCAGACCTGGTGGCCTGAAACTCACATTGTGCCTGTGTGTGTGCATGCCCAGGATCCTGAGAGGAGAATGGAGGAGAAGGGATTGTGGTGTGGCCATCCTCCCTGGGAGGTGCTTTCTCACTTTATGTCTCTCGGTCTCTCTGACAAGTACTTGTGCCCTATAGCAAAAATTTCTCTGAAAAATAAAACATAATAAACACCGGTTACTCCCTGCCCCTTTGAGATGCCCCACCATATGCCTGCTCCCTGTTGGGGCCACCCTGCCTCTCTCAAAAAGTCCCTACTACCTGGAACGTCCTCTCCACCTTCTTGCCCGGGCAAATTTCTCATCCGTCATGCTCCAGCTAAATGTCACCTCCTTTCTGTGGCCTCCTTTCTCAGCTTCCCTGGAAAGGAAGGATTTATGGCTCCCTTTCCCCTGCTCGGACTACGCAGGTGCTGTGCACAGTTCAGTTCCGGCACCTTGTCACGTTGCGTTAACTTCGTGTGCGTCCGTCACCAGTGCACGGCCAGCCAGGGCCTGGCGCCGAGCCAGTCTGGAAGCATGACGCTTGAATGAACCCTGACTTTGGGGATGACTGGCAGTCCTGGGTCAGCTCCTCAGGCTCTGGCTTGAAGTCCAGCCCTCGGTCCAAGGGTCAGTCACCCCAGCTGTGAACACATCTGCCTCCCATGTGGGAAGAGAGAGAGCTCAAGGCCAAGCTGGGGCAGGAGGGAGTAGTGTGGGACTCATTTGCACTGGGTAGGTCCTTTCTATGCAGCAAGGACTGCCTGGGTACTTTAAATATGTAGTGAGGTTTAATCCTCACAACCAGCAAGAGTTCTGGCATGGTCCCCACTTCACACACGAAGCTCAGAGAGAATGACTTGCCTGAATTTATCTAGTGAAATCACCCAGCCGTCCAGCCATCCTCTCCCCACCCATTCATCTATTCATCCATCCTTTCTCCTCTCTCCCTCCCTCCCTTATTTCTTACCCTCCTCCCTCCTTTCTATCCTTCCATGCATCCATGCATTGAATCTTTATTAGCTAATATGTGACAGGCACCATGCTAGTCACTGGAGGGAAATGACAGCGCCAAACCAACCGTAGTCCTGGATCAGAGCTCGTATCATAATGTGAGAGACAAATGTTAATAAAACAGAGCTCAAATTTGGGCTGCAATTACAAACTCTGGTGAGTGCTGTCAAGGAAAATTATAGGAAGAACACACATCAGAGGACCTGACGCAACCTGAGAAGTCAGGGAGAGCTTCTTGGAAGAAGTGATATTATTCCTGAACCCTGAACAATGAGTTGGGAGAGAGGAAAAAGCTCATGCAAAGGCCCTGAGGTTGGAAGAAGCATAATATGTGCAAGGAACTGAAAGCAATCCTTGGTCACTTTGTGGCTGAGGGATGAGGCTGATAGCAAGATGAAGCTGGAGGGAGTGGGGGGGACTCATCATGGACAGTCGTTGAGGCTTTAAGGCAAGAAATTTGGGTCATGTTCATTTTCTAATGCTAGAGGGTGGCACGTACTTGCCACACACACACACACACACACACACACACACACACACACAGCATCCCCTAATAGGCCATGGTCATGCTGCAGCACTTTCTCCGTCCTACCAGGACTTGGGGCACACACGTGCATCCAATATATTTTCAAGCCACCAGGGCCAGGATTTGAATTGTGGCTGGCCAATTGAGACCTGACTCTTTCTCTTTTTTTGGGAGAGGTTTTTGCTATAAGGCACGTGAGCTCTCCAAAAAGACAGAGGGACAGAAAGCGAGAAATCACCCCCCCTGGGAGGATGGCCATGCTGCAATTCCTTCTCTATTCTACTCCCGGGATCTTGGGCACACATGCACACACGCCCGGCATGAGTTTAAGCCACCAGGTCCAGGACTCAAATCGCGGTCGACTACATGGGAGTCTAGAGACATAGCCATTACTCCAACTGCTGGTCCCAAGATCCAACTCTCCTAACCACTAGGCCATGGAGCTGGCCTTGCTTCTTAAAAGCAATGGGAGGCCACTGATGGTGGGTTTTAAGCAAAGCAACCTAGTGACATACTATCCATTCATTCAACAGCGACCATGAATTGCTCACTCTCTGTATGCCAGGACTATCCCTGCCCCTGGGGATATAGCAGTGGACAAGACAGACAGGGCCCCGTCCTCCCTGAGCCTACCTTCTAGTCAAGGGAGCTTAGAATCTAAAATACGAGGGTGGAGGTAGGACGCTACCATGCATTTTAGGGTGAGATAATCATGGTAGGAGAGGCAAGAGAAGTGGACAGATTTGAAAAATGAGTGTCTGGCTCCGGCGCAGCCTCTGTTTGCTCAGCAAGAACAGGGATGTTTGTCTCTCAGGGTTGCTGTCTTTGGCCATGGAACCATATGTTCTGAGAGCCCGGGGCCCTGCCATTCCTCCACCTCATGAAAGGGAATCCCCAGCATCATCTCTGAACCTGTCAGGCGACCCTCCTGTGCAGCAGCTGGCTTCAGTGGGGAAGCCTCTGGCCACCCCAGACCCCGAGCCCCCTCTTCTAGGTGGGCTCCATGCCCAGCACTGCATCCATCCATCTGGCCTGACATACATCAGTGTCAATGCCTGGCTGCAAAAGCAATATTTATAAATCACGTTTCCAAACTGGCTACAAATTTGTACAAAGAAACAGATGGATTGGGGTAGCTGTTTGTCACCTAGGATATTTATACGGTGAGGAGGAGGGGGCTTGGCACATCGAGGAAGAGACCTGCCTTGACAGCTCTGACCTTAGCATGTGGTTGCCCCTCCCACCTCCACGCTGGAACTTCTACCAGGTGGGCACACCCGCGGCAGCTCCAGCAGCCCCCAGTCAAAGAGAAGCAGTTGGGGCAGAGTCTCAGACCCCCTTCCGTTGGAAAGACTGTGGTGAGGGTGAGCCAGGGCTATCTTTGTCTCGTGGGGCCAGCTCAGGATACCAGCAGAATAATGAGTAGGCAGGGCTGTAGTGGATGCTCCACTATGGAAATACTTCCAACATGGTTGTGACTCTGAGCCCCCCAAGATCTTCTCTGCTGCCTTAACCTTTCCCCCAGGGGTTCTCTGAACTTGGACAGATCAAGCCAGGAAGGTGGTGACGCTGGCACAGCAGGGGGTTCTGCTCCTGCTTATGGCTGGTAATCATTCTGTTGGGTTGTCTGAGCTGCACTGGTTGGTAAATATTGTTAAGATGGCTCCTAGGGTTACAGATGGGTCTGGCTTCAGAAGCCCCTAAGGCCCCCCTCTCTTTCTCGCACACACACGTGTGTGCCTGTGTGTGCAGGGAGGTATAATATAAAGGACTTAGGGGATGATCCCAGTCCCGTTCCAGGGTCAGAAGGACAGACACGACCTGGGCCATTCTCTCTGACCGCATCCCCTCTAAGTTCTGCCTTGAACTCCCTCCAGCCACATGGGGCTTCTGTTCCTTAAGCCCTCCAGTCCTCAGGGCCTTCGCGCTTGCTGGTTTTGTCCCCTGAATGGTTCTTTGTCCAGTTATCTGCATGACTCACTTCCTCCGTCCTTCAGGTCCCCACTCACCATGGAGCCCCTCAGAGAGGCCTTCCGGGACCACCCTATTTAAAACGTCTTCTACCCTGCTTTAATTTTCACCTTTACTTACACATTTCATTGAACACCTACTATGTGTTAAGCACTCCTCTAGGCACCCAGGGTCTGGACTCTTGTAAGAATTGTATTATTCCTCCAGCCCCAGCCACTTCTGTCTCCAACACATCAATTATTGGATTAATTTCTGTCTCACCTCACCAGAATATAAACCCCATGGGGTGGGGGGTGGGGGTTTGTCTTGTTTGCCCCTGTATTTTTAGGGCCTAGAGCAGGGCCTGACAAGTAGGTATGTATCTCAATAAATGCTCAACCACGTGCCCAGTAAATAATTGCCAAATGTAGAAACTGACACGTTCTAGTACAAATAGTAGACCAGGAAGCCCTTGTCTCCCTGGGGCCACCTCGCCATGTGAGCTGTAGGCGTTATCAGCCCGTTTTACAGATAATGAAACTGAGGCTTAGGACTTAGAGAGAGGCAGATTCTTGCTGGGATTGCGTAGAGAGAACTGCAGGGCAGAAGGTGTGCAAGGGGCTTACTCTAGTCTTCACCTAGACATGGGACTCTGCTCAGTCGGGACTCTGGCCCACCCACTCCTCATCCAGCCCCACTTCGCAGCCTCCCACCGACCATTCCCTGCCCTGGTGCCTCCTCTCCATGCTGCTGCCCACCCCCTGTCTGTTCATGGTTTGGCCAGGATCTGGGCAGCAGCTCCACCTTGGCCCAGAATTTCCGGTGATCTTAGACCCAATATTGGCCTTCCGGGTGCCTCAGTCCTTCCATCTATAACATGGGAGGAGGACAGGGAGGCCAGCCCCTCCTCCAGGCACCCTAGGATAGGTGGCTTGGAGGAAACTCACCTTGGATATCGAGCAGGGAGAAATGAGGGTTGCTGGGAGCTTCGGGCACCAGGCGGAAGTAGAAGCGATGCCCGCCCTGTGGCTCGTCTCTGTCCACCACACTGATGGTCTGGATGAGCTGAAGGGTGAGAAAGGGATGGGAGCTGATGGTGAGGCTGAGGTCATTTAGAGGTTGGGCAGGGGTGCCCCGGGCTGGTCTTGACAGCAACCCCTAGTCCCCAGCCCGTCAGTGATACCTGGCCAGGCTCGGCATCCTCACACACTGCTGCCTCGTAAGGTGTGGCCAGTTCTGGGGGATTGTCGTTCACATCCAGGATTCGGATCCTTAGGGAGGCCCGAGATAACTGGGCGTGGTTGTCTGTAATAAGAGCACAGGGGGAGCAGGAGGCCTCGGGGTGAGATCTGGGCCACCCCCGATGTGCTGCCAGACAAGAGCAGGCAATGGGTTGCACTGAGATCTGGGTTGACCAAGCAGGTCAACATCTGGGCAGAAGTGGGTAATCCTCACTGTAACCATCACCACCACCTTTACTGTCACCATCACTGCTCTGGAGGCAGCCACTAGTTATTTCAGGTATCCTTGCATCATCAGACACTGGCACTATTGACGCCATCACTGCAACCCCCTCAAGTCACCAGTACCACCTCATTACCATCACCAGCACCACCTTTACCATCACCACTGTCACCACCTGCACCATCACCATCGCCACTTTCACCATCACTGTCACCATCACCACCTGCACCATCACCATCTGCACCATCATCATCTGCATCATCAACATCTACACCATCACCATCTGCATCACCACCTGCACCATCACCACCTGCATCATCACAATCTACACCATCACCACCTGCACCATCACCATCTACACCATCGGTTCAGCCTGTCCTCTGCTAGTCCCTCTATATTCCTTAATGCCACCATCCCTGAGCTGCTTCACTGTCCCCCAGCAGCTTGGGCCTGAAGCCTCATCCCCCTCCACCCCAGTCTCCATCTCCAGCCTGATTTCTTACCCTACTTCCCCCTCATTCATTTTCCTCCTCCCCAGAATGCACTCCATCCCTCCCACTGTGGGACCTTTGTGTAAGTCATTCCCTCTACTTAGAACGTTTTCTGATTCTTAGTCTGGGTAGTACCCATTCATCTTTCAGATGTCTTCGGGGAAACATTAGCACCCCCTAACTCCAGGTCTCCTCAATGTCCTCCACTCCACATACTTGTCCTTCATGTTTACCAGTATTTTAAAGAATTCATGCATTCATGTGGTTATTTGGTTCATGTCTGTTTCCCCATTTAGAGTGTAAGTGTCATGTGGGCATGGAAGTGTCTGTCTTGGTCTCCCCGGCAGATAGCCAGGACACAGGGGGTGCTCAGGAAATAGTTGTTGAATTGAGTTGAAAACTTTCTCCTAACTCCACACCTTGCTTTTTAGTTCCCAATCCTTCTCTAAACTTTTCTAATTATCTAAACTATCACCACCTGTACCATCACCACCTTCACCATCACCATCTGCACAATCACCATCACCACTTTCACCATCACCACTATCACCACCTGTACCATCACCACCTTCACCATCACCATCTGCACAATCACCATCACCACTTTCACCATCACCACTATCACCACCTGTACCATCACCACCTTCACCATCACCATCTGCACAATCACCATCACCACTTTCACCATCACCACTGTCACCACCTGCACCATCACCACCTGCACCATCACCATCTACACAATCACCATCACCTTCACCATCACCATCTGCACCAACACCATTACCATCAGCACCTTCACCATCACCATCACCACCACTATCTGCACCATCACCACCAAATTATTCTGACCATGATCACCATGAAGCCATTACCACTCCCACCATTAGCACTGCTGCCTCTACTAATATAACTATTAATACTACTGTCACTCTCTCTATTACCATCACTATTGCTGTTGCCATCCTCACCACGAGACCATCACCATCACTACCATCACCATTAGAATTAGCACCACCACCACCTTATCCACTAGTGCTACCTCATCATCTTTGTCTGCCACCATCACAAACACTCTCACTCTAACTACCACCACCATTTCCCATAGCCATCCAATACCACCACCATCATCCCTCATCACCATCCAATACCACCACTACCATCATCACCAACACCATCACCATCTCCACCATGCCCACCCCAGCCACCACTGCCAGCCCATGATTGCTCCATTTCTCCCACCAAAACCACCAGTGATACCAGCCCCTACCCCCAACACTGTCACCACCATGCCATCACCACTGAGTGGACGCACTGCACCGGAGGCAGCCACTCATTATTTCAGGTATCCTTGCAGAAATCCTGTGCTTCCACACACTTTATGTCTCCATATTGTAGAGGAGAAACTGAACACGAGAAAGTTTATAGGCTTGGTCAGCCGGCAATTGAATTCCCAAACTTCTGCTCCCTCAAGACCCAACTCTCAGAGGACTAGACAAGTCCAAGGAGATGGATCTTGGCCAGCAAAACCATGAGGTCCCCAGCTCTCCAGCTGGGATGTACTCAAGGTCAAGGTCCCTGTCTGACTTATCTCTGGCTTCCCAGCATTGTAGGATATGGTGCTGAGTAGGTTCTAACATCTTTGTTAAATAAACGAAAGAAGCCTGGAAGGATTCGGAGAGAAGAAGGCTTGAGTTCCGGGTGTGGCCATATCCAGTCCAGTGTTTGATCTCAGATAAGATCTTGCCCTATCAGCAACAGAAAATTGACAGAGCACAGTGATTAAGAGCAGAGACTCTGGAACTGGGTGATTCTGGTCCCAGCTCTGCCACTTGGCAGCTGTGTGATCTAAGCCAGGTCACTTGGCCTCTCTGTGCCTAACTTCTCACCTGCAAAACAGGTCTAATAGTAATAACTTAGTGAAGAGACAGATTGGTTACTATCTGTACATCACTTACAACTGTGGATGTAACGCACTGAAAGCGCTATAGAAGTATTTGTTAAACAGACATCCTCGAAGGGTCCTTTCAGCAGTGACACCAGAGGACCCTAGGATTGGAATAGCCCCATACCAGTCACCCTCTCTGAGCAGCACCCTGAGTACTGACCCTTCCTGATTCCCCACCCCACCCCAGCCCCAGCCCTCGGGGTGCTCTCTGGAGCCCTCCCTCAATTGTCTCAGCCTGTGCCTAGTACTGACTTGTTCCACTTGGCAGTGATTCTGGGAACATCTCCTGGGAGAGGGAGCTACACCCCACTTCCAAGCAGTGACTGGGGTGATGGGGAGGGGTCCCTGAGTGGGCTGGTAGGGAGCTATCTGGGGGGCAGCCTGGAAGCTTGCAGGCAGCCAGGCACCTGATGAGTTTTGGGTGGGGTTGGCTGGTGGGCTCCCTGACTCTCTGAATTCAGGGCCCCCTGGATGCAGACGGCAGCTGCTCGTGTGTTGATAAGGAGAGAAATGGAGATTGGAAGGCAGGTGCAGCCTCCTCCTGGGGTGTCAGGCAAAGGAGGGGGGGTGGAGACTTAATTAACTCAGACCCGACCCCTCTCTGGAGATCCCCTTGGCCAGGGGCACCTTATCTTCTCACTCACCCAGATCTGCTGTTTCAATGATTAGAGGGGGCTTTTCTGGGGTGAGATGGGAGTCGTGACTGGGGATGCCGGGTGGGCTGTTATTTTTAAGAGCGTGTTGCCGGAGAACTTCAACAGACAGACGGTGGGTGCTTTGGGGAGGAGGGGCGGATGACACGCAGCCAAGAACAGGCGCCTCTCCCTCAGCAGGGGCAGAGGGATGGTGGGGGGGGTACCAGGGCATGAGTGCCCTTCTTGGACGTCCTCTCTTGCAGTGGGGGATGACGGTGGGTGGGTGTAAGGGTTGGAGGGGAGACAGGATCCTACGGGCCAAGCAGAAGGGAGACCTTGGAGGAGGACAGGCCGTTCAGTGGGCAGACCCTGGAGCTGGATGGTTCTGGTCCCAGCTCTGCCACTTGGCAGCTGTGTGATCTAAGTCAGGTCACTTGACCTCTCTGTGCCTAACTTTTCTCACCTGCAAAACTGGCCTACCGGAGTGCAGGTCCCACTGCTGGCGAGAACCCCATTACTGTGCCATTGCATTGGTCTTTGCTGGGCTTCTTCTAGCCCCTCTTTTAAACTGTCATAGGGAAAAGCCTCTTGGGGAAAGCCCTGAGCCCTCTGGCATGAGTGAGGATCTCAGACCTGAGGTCAGGACAGATGAGTGAGCCCTGAAGAGGGGTGCCTCCATATGGCCAAAGCTGCCATCTGCAATGCTTATGTTCAGGACCCCTGGATTAGGACCCCAAGTCTGTGGGCCAGCCTGAGGTCAGCAGTCAGTGCCCTTGACCTTGGGCCAGTGGTTCTCTGGCCTGACTGTATGTTAGAGTCACCAGGGAAATCTTTACATCTTTAATGGTTACAGTGCTGGGGCCAGCAGGTGGTATGGTGGTTAAGGTGCTGGACTCCCACATGTCTGACCACAGTTCGAGTCTTGAACCTGGTGGCTTGAAAATCATGCCGGCTGTGTGTATGTGTGTGTGTGTGTGCCCAAAGTCCCAGGAGAACAATGGAGGAGAAGGGATTGCAGCATGGCCATCCCTCCTGGGGGTGATTTCTTATTTTCTCTCTCTCCGTCTCTCTCTTACTTCAGCAAGTGCATGAATCCTGGGCAAAACCCTAAAAACAAAATAAACCTTCCAAAACCAGTGCCCAAGGCTTGGTCCTGGATTCTTTAACAGCTTCCCAGGGGCATCTAAGAAGGAGCAAGTTTTGTGGGACCAGCAGTTAGCATAATGGCTATGTCGCTGGACTCCCATGTAGTCGACCGCGGTTCGAGTCCCGGACCCAGTGGCTTAAACTCACGCCGGGCGCATGTGCATGCGTGCCCAAGATCCCGAGAGGAGGATAGAGGAGAAGGGATTGTGGCGTGGCCATCCCCCCTGGGGGTTGATTTCTCCCTTTCTGTCTCTCTGTCTCTCTCTGTCTTTCTGGCGGGGGCACGTGCCCTCTGGGGATAAAAAAGAACTCTCTCTCAAAAAAAAAAAAAAAAAACAACACAAAAAAACCTATCAAGTTCTGGAAAACACCGTCCCAGGGCGTCTGGGTGGGGGCGTTCCAGCTGACATCTCTTCTGACTGGCTTCTTCCAAACCCTCCTGATCACGATTAGGATCGTATCTAGTGACTGATGGCACCAAGTCCTAGCTTTACCACCTTGAATGTTTCTAGTATAAGATAAGGAATCCCGGGACCAGCAGATGGTTAATGGTTACATTGCTGGACTATCACGTAGTTGACTGAGGTTCGAGTCCTGGACACGGTGGCTGGGCACGCGTGTGTG